AGCTCTGGTGTATGTGGCTAGTGCCTTAGCCGCTTGAGCTACAGGCGCTGAGCCCATTGCAAGTTTTGTTCTTGCACATTGAGTGAACATATAGCCTCTTAGATTGACAGATTCTTCATAGTACTTTGAATAAACAAAACAAAAAAGGATATGCTAGGTGTTGAATTAATTTTGTGCAGAATTTTCGTATCTAAACTGTGTGGAATTATGAATCTGCCCTTACATTGTAACATGGATTTACAAAAGGTACATTTTCACTTTTAATTTTATGCTTAAAATTGTAAGCTGTTATTAAGATGAGTTAAAAAACAAATGAGTTTCACATAAACAGCTTCCAATATGTATATTCAAAATACAGGCTCTGGCTCAGTGTCTGTAGCGCAGTGGTTAGGGCACCCCCCACATACACAGGGGTGGTGTGTTTGAACCCGATCCAAGCCTGCTAAACAGCAACGACAACTACAACAACAACAAAAAATAGCTGGGCGTTGTGGCAGGCGCCTGTAGTCCTAGCTACTTGGGAGGCTGAGGCAAGAGGATATACTTCAATTAAGCCCAAGAATTTGAGGCTGCTGTGAGCTGTGACGCCTGGCACTCTACCAAGGGTGACGTAGTGACATTCTGTCTCAAAAAAAAATTACAGGCTTAAAGTAGTGTCTTGGAGATTTTTTTTCCTTGGTAAGTTTTATTTTTATTACTGTTCTGCAAGCATTAGCATTTCTCTAACATCAAAAGATATTTAAAACATTACCAGTAACACCTATTTAGGTTATTGGCAGTGTTTTTAAATTGTTTGCAAGTTGGCCTTTGGCCTTGCTGATTTTTTTTTTTTTTTTTTTGGAGACAGAGTCTTACTTTGTTACCTTTGGCAGAGTTCTGTGGTGTCATAGCTCACAGCAACTTCCAACTCTTGGGCTCAAGCAATTTTCTTGCCTCAACCTCCCTAGTAGCTGGGACTACAGGTGCCCACTACAATGCCCGAATTTTTTTGTTTGTTTATTTAGCAGGTCCAGGCCAGATACAAACCCACAAACCCCAGAGCATGTGGCTGGTACCCTAACCACTGAGCTGTGGACACCTAGCTGACCTTGCTGAAATTTAATGCTCTAGGTTGGCCCGGTGGCTCAGACTTGTAATCCTAGCACTCTAGGATTACAAGCGTGTGGATTGCTGGAGTTTAGGAGTTCAAGACCAGCTGGAGTAACAGGGAGACCCCATTTCTACTAAAAATACAAAAAAAAATTAGCCAGGCATTATGGCAGACACCTGTAGTCCTAGCTACTCGGGAGGCTGAGGCAAAAGGATTGCATGAGCCCAAGAGTTTGAGGTTGCTGTGAGCCATGACGCCATGCTACTCTACGCAGGATGAGAGAGAATTTGTCTCCAAAAAAACCAAAGGAAGAAGAAATCTAATGCTCTAGTGGCATTTGTCAGCAGAAGACTGACTTGGCTTGCTATGCTGCCATACTCCGCTTGACCAGAATGTCTTCATAACTGCAAAGGCATTTGTCTGTGCCTAGTTTTGTGAATAATTTTTTTGCTTTGTTTTATTTTGTGACAAGGTCTCTTTCTCTTGCCCAGGTAGAATCCAGTGACATTGGCTCGGCGCCTGTGGCTCAAGCGGCTAAGGCACCAGCCACGTACACCTAAGGTGGCGGGTT